CGCTGCGTCGGAAGCGGGAATTCGGGGGAGACGCGGGGCGGGGGCGCAAGGCAGCCGCCATGATCGCCAGGCAGGGGAGGGCTTCCCCCTTCCTCTCTTTGAGACCGAGAAGCACCGCCGTCGAGCAGTAATAAGAAGTCCCCCTCAGCGCAGAAACCTGCGCCGTTTAGCAGCAGCCTCCTGCAGCTTCAAAAGCCTCCTGCAGCAATTCGGCGTCCACGACCCACCCGACTTGCCTTAAGAAATGCAATTTTGGACGCAGCGTGACAGAGCGGGGCACCCGGAGGGGGAAAAAAAAAACCTCGCACCTGGTCACGCTTCTCTGGGCGCGTCCCTACGAAGGGTTAATAAAAAGCTTCCTGCGATTTAAAAAAAAAAAAAAGCAAGGAACACCCATCTACTCATTCTCTCGTAATCCAGAAGCGCTGTTATGATTTATAGTTGGAGGAGCGAAAAATTCCGCACCGTAGTAGGATGGGCTTTTCCTAAGCAGCAACCCACCGCCTTTCGAGGTTGCTACAGACACGCACACGCGTATTCCCTCCAGTTTTAAAGGGTTTCTACGGAGTTCCACCGTACGTTGCCGCCACTTTCCTAAGACTCAGCGGCTGCCCGAGGCTGCAACGCAGTTCTTCAGGGGAAAAAAAGATTTAAAAAACCAAACCAAAGCACGACCCTATAATGTTGCCCAAAGACAGGCTACAGCACCCCACTCCCCAGAGAATGCGCTCTAGCGTCCTTAACATCCGAAGCTGAACTTCGCTTTTTTTTCCAAGAGCATATTAACTGCTGCAAATTATCTCTGCAGTTCTATTAGACGAGAAGCCTCAGAGCTTTACCCCAAACAAACCCTTATTATTTTGTCTGGCACCGATGGCCCTGGAAATCCACCCAGCGCCACCCACCCACAAAGCCTCTCGGAGACATGCACGCGCGCCGCAGTGTCTCACGTTTGAATTCTTGCTTGTACTTAAAAGGCGTCTCTTTGACATCGGGGCTGAGCCGGTGCACCGCCCCTTCTTTTCCACCGGGGGCGCCAAATCAACGAGGAATCGGCCCTCCCGAAAGGAAACCCGCTCAGCTGCGGAACACGCAGAGCTGCTGAGCCTCGCACGTCTGCAAGGAGCTCCGCCTCTGAAGAAAC